ACGAGGTTTTCGTCTCCATGTTGCAGGACCACAGTCTTGCCACCTGTCCCTGCGAGGTGGTTGGCTGAGCTCTCTTCTCAGTGCGTCTAGTTTCTACTATCCTGAGTCCTTGGCTCAAGTCCTCCTGCCCCCTTCCATCCTCTGAATTCTATTCTTGTTTCCTTAGCCACTCAGTGGTATGAGTTTGGTTGTGTCCTCCTCTTAAGTGACACTATAAGCCTAAAGGCAAGCAGTGGGTCTCGTATTTCACACGTGGGGTGCCTTGTACAAAATGAATCAAAAGCCAGCTTACTTAAGCATAGCCTGGAAAGAGGTGTCTATACCCAGGGACCTGTGCTCATTTTGGTTTGCATGCGGCATGAGGGCAGGGACTATATGCCATACTTCTTTTATATGTTTCCCAACCTAACCCCCTGCTTCGTTAATTCTGAAGGCATAACAATAACCACTATTTATAAGGCTTAACTGGGTCAGGCATTGTGTTGGGCACTTTACTTATATTATCGCATCTCATCTTTACAATAAATTTAAGACATATAGGTCCTATTATTCCCATTTTACAGATGGAAAAAATGTAGCTCCTAACTGCTCTAACTTTACTTCATCACTCAGTAATGTGTCTTCAGAACCTTAGAAGAAATCTTGCCATTGACTGAATGTTTGTGATCCCCCAACATCCATAGACTGAGATCCTAACCCCCAGTGTGATTATGTTAAAAGGCAGGACCTTTGGGCAGTGAGAGTGGAGTTCTCACGAATGGAATTAGTGCTCTTATAAGAAGAGACACCAGAGAGCTTTCTCTCTCTCTGCTCTCTGCCGTGTGAAGACACAGCAGGAAGGCAGCTGTCCTCAAACCAAGAAGAAAGTCCTTACCAGATAGAATCTGCTGGAGCTTTGATCTTGTGCTTCCCAGCCTTCGAAACTATGAGAAAAAAACAAATATTCGTTGTTTAAGCCCCTTAGTCAATGGTATCTTTGTTATAGCAGTACACCAAACTGACTAAGACAAAACTTAAATATCATTTAGAATATTTATGTGTTCAGCTGAGGCATCTCTGACTCAGAAAGGTTTGGGATTGTCCTAAGTCACTCAGCTAATCTGTGCAGCCAATCCTTAAAGTCAAACTCTTTCTTCCTGTCACCCAACCCTGAAGGGGTAAGTCATTTGACAGGGCAGGTCATTTGATGGGGCAGGCCATCCTGCTAAAGGAATGAATGGACCCAGTTGGAGCCAGGGATTGATGCTGGACCCCATAGGGATGAGTCAGGACTGAAAGGCCAACCCCTCCTGCCTCAGGGTCATGAGCAGTTGAGTCAGGCCCTGGTGAGGATTGCTCTGCCCTCTGGACTCCCTGGGAAGGGACCTCCTTTCTAACTTTTTGATGCCTTTATCAGCTCAATACAGCAAGTACCTATAGAGTTCCTGCTCTAAGGATAAAAGGGAAAAAAAAACAAAAAAAAAAAAAAAAAAAAAAAAAAAAAAAAAAAAAAAAAAAAACCTTGCTAAAAAAACAGAGACCCTGATAGAGAGACCCTGATTCTAGCCTCATCTTAGTGACCAGCCATTTGTGAGTTCCCACCTTGAATTCCTCACCTGTCCCATGAGGGGGTTGGTCCTGTGGGGCCAGGTACTCTAAGTAGAGGCCCGTGTGCCTTTTTGACTCCACTGCCCCCAGCTCATCTGGACCACAGGCTACTCCCACTGCCAAGGCCGCTCCGAGGGCCCCTCCCCTAAAACTCCAGCACACACTGCTCTCCCTCCTCTTCTTTGTGTCTTCCTGGGACCCATGGCCCAGATATTTGAAAAAGTGGCAAACACTTCTGATGCGTTCTTACTCCTGATGCATCATATGCTTACCCAAACCTCCAGCCTGTGGGAGAGAGTGGGACTCTTTCTTCCTTCAATGTGTGAATTTTGTTAGACTCAAACTTTATTTTCAGTGGCACCTGACAAACAACTTTCTTGATTCTCTCTGCCACCCAACCCACACAGCCCAGCATGTCTCATTGTTTTTACTGGCACAGACCTAATTGGGTCTGAAGTTCACTGAATCAGAAGTCAAAAGACAAAAGAGAAGACAATGACAGATGGCGCTCTGTAGAGGAAATGGGCTCTCTGGCCAAGTTGCCCCCTTGCTTTTCCCTGATGCACCCATCCGAGGTCACCCAGCCAGCCCTGATGGGTGCAGAGATCAGAATGTAGTAACTGTGGTATTAATTTTGTTTATAAGTTTGGGGTTATATGAGTTTGAGGGTGTCTATGAATTGCGAGTTTGTGAATATGTTTGTATAATGCAGCAATGTGTGGTATATATCATGGAAGACTTGTGTGTAATGATGGACAGAGGCCAGGCACAGTGGATCATGACTAATCCCAATGCTGGAAGGCCAAGGTGGGAGGATCACTTGAGCCTAGTGGTTTGAGACCAGCCTCGGCAACATAGGGAGACCCTGAATCTAAAAAAAAAATTTTTTTTAATTAAAAAAATAAAAATTAGCCAAGCACACACCTGTAGTCCTAGCTACTCAGGAGGCTGAGTGAGGAGTATTGCTTGAGCCCAGGAGTTAGAGACAGCAATAAGCTATGATCACATCACTGCACTCCACGCTGGGGCAGACAGACTAAGACCCTGTCTCTAAAAAAAAAAAGATAGAAAAATACTACTAGTGTTGTGGCTATGTGCATGAGTGAAGGTGTTAGCAGAGTGTATTTTCATGAGTGGGGGCTCAGGGACATTGGTGAATATGAGGGTGACTGGATGTACATGTAGAACATAACCTGAGGGTCTGGTATGCATGAGTATAAAGGCATATGCAGTGGCATGCGGAGCTGGCTTCTCCTGGCTCATGAGAGCGGCTTGTTAAATTTAGGGATTTTGTAAACTGGTAATTAAACTCAACCATTATTAAAAATTAAATTGTATATACTCACAATTATATAAAAATAAAGGTTATAAATAATTAAATTTCACCCCTTGCTAATTATTTTACATGTCTTGAGGTTTTTTTACATCAATTGTATCTGTATGGTGGAAACACTATGCAATATTTGTTACTGTGCATCTCTTCCCAACTGTACATTCACTGACATTGTATTAATAATTTGAAATTGGCCATCATAGGATTCTTTATATTAAGGAACTTAGCAAACTCTACAAATCAGGGTCTTTTATTTATGGAGAGCTGGTTGCTAAACATTTACCAGCACACAAGTGTTATATGAGTGTTTTGTGTGTGTATACTAGTGAGTATGTTGGTTGGGTATTTTTGAGGTGCAATTTAGAAAGTTGTGTGTGAATTGTTGGTGATAAGTGTTAATGAATATAATGAATGAATGTGTATATAATCTATAAGTACATATGCTAGGTAAGTCAGGGTAATATTAAACTAAAATCCATGGATCTTTAAGGTGTCAGGGGATGGAATTCAGAGGGTCCATGAACTTGAATGAGGAAAAAAATTACATCTTTATTTTCACTAACTTCTAACTAAAATGTGACATTTTTGCCAATATTAATATAGCTGACAATACAGTAGTGTTAATAGTGTTTATACTTTTATTAATAGAAATCACGGATATGTTCATATTATTTACAGTTCTTGCAGATATATCAAAATATCATTTATAGTCATGACAATGTCAATATGCTCCATCATTGGTATCATTTGAAGATTTGATAAGAAGGCACATGTATTTCCAAACTCCAAATTGGCTTAAAAACGTTTTGAAAACTGAATTTTAATATAATTATTTTCTTTTGTAATCTTACGTGTTTAATTTTAGGTAATTCAAAACAGTTTTCTGAGGGGATTTGTGGATTTCATCAGACTGCCAAAGGGGTCATAGCACCAAAAATACCATTACATGATTATTATGTGTAAGTGTAATTGACATGTCAATAAGTAGGGTGTGTGTGTATGTGTGTGTATGTTATGAGTTGGGATCTGAGAATATAAGTGACTTGTAGGCTCTTAGGCTATTGGGAGTGGTGAGTGAATGAGAATAAAGTTATGTTTATGATCTAATCTCTAAAACTGGCTTCCTTTTTTTCCCCTAGAGAGATCCAGGGAGGCCTGAAGGGCTGGGGAATATTTCATCAAGAGTGGGACATGAATTGAATTCTAAATATTTTCCTTCTAAGACAGACTTACTCCAAAGTCCTTCTTATACAATTCTTGATAGCAGAAAATAAATTTACTCTCTGAATTCTGGCTGAGCATAAATGGGGCAACATTTCTCATCTAATTCAGGAAAGCTCTTGCCTTGTTGCTGCAGACAATTCCTGATCTCTGTGGACACAGGAACTCTGGCCTCACCACTGACCTGTTATTCTACTTGTTTTTCTGCAGACACAAAAAAAGCCCACCCTGACATATTGCAGCTTACCCCTTTTTGGTGTAGCTAGTTATATTCCACTTTCTACCGTCTGGCCTTACACGCATTCCCAGACTGTCCTAAAAATGACATCACCTGTCTTTGATCTCTTCTACCGCTCTGCATTCTGGCTGGGGTGTTTGCCAGCTTGGCTCAGCCAGGGGACACCTTCAGAATTCTCCAGGGAATAGCTTTGCCAGCAAAAGGTAGGAGAAAAAGAAGGTGATAAAGGAGGAAGAAAGTCTGGAATTGTATTCTGGCACTTTCTGCTGAAGGAGTATAGGCACAGAATGAGGGATCTCGGAGTCAGAGCCCCCAGCTGGCTGCCCTTTCCTTGTCATCAGGGAAATTCAGCTCACAGAAATTTCTGACACTGATTGGGGTTTTATCCTGGTATTTATTTATCACTGGTCTCCACAGTTGATGGGCGATCCAGAGCTTTCCTTGTCTGAACTTTCAATACAACAACTTCCTCCAGGTAAGATGCTCTCAAAGTCTTCCAAAGGATGGTCAGTAAACATGCCTATAAGCCTCTGGCCAAGATGAAGCTCTTCACCGTTTTCAAATCAGGTCTCACAAGGCTTCCTCAAAAGCTGTTCTAACTTAAAATCCCTCCTGCTTCAGTTTAAGTCTCTTGATCAGCCCTTGGAGGAGATGGAACAAAGCTGTGTGATCTTTGGGTATTGGGAGACAGCTGTCAGTCTCTTTTGAAACAACCCAGGATGCTATACTGCTCGAGAGCAGCACTGGGGCATGATCTTGAGAGGTCTCTAGAGCCTAAAGCGGTCCGTGTGCCCACTCAAATGGAGGGACGTAAGTAATCTTTGAATGCACACACAATTTGACTACATGCTGTTGCCCCTGTGCTTGTGCCCTTTGCAGGAATGGGCATTGGGTGACTTCTGGATTCTGGGCCAGTTTGGTGAGGATCACAGAGGCAGCCAAGCATATCACAAGACTTCAGACCTCTTGATGTAATCTTATATAAGATCAATAAGCAGAAATAATACCAAGAGTTACCTCATGCACTGATAATGAGGAACAAGGAGTCACACTATTCTCAACTGCATACACAATTTCACTGGTTGGGGTGGTTGCTAGAATCATAAAAAGGGTCTTTCTTGGAGACAAGAACTGCAAGTTGGCCTTGTCCTCTAAGTCTGCTCATGCAGCAGCCTGGGGAGATTTCACTGGTCTGATTCACACAGACCTTCAGTCTTTGCTACCCACAAGAGGCTGATAAACTATGAGTCTGGCACTTGAAACCGGGTCTATGTCCTGAATTTGTATATCTAATGCAGGGAGGAGCTGGAGAATGCCTGACTTCCAATGCCTGACCTCGTCAGGTGCTGTTGGTTAGAAAGTATTCTCTGTGCCCTTGTCAGAAAATTTTCATTTAGAAAACCTGGTGAACTCCTTGAAAATCCTGACTCAGGATGGGGAGAACAAGTCTTGCTGAGTATTCATTTGAAGTCTGACATTCAGTGAGAGAGGAGATAAGGCTCCTGTGTCTACTTTGAAGGATGGAAAACGGGAAGGTTGATAGAGAGGTTAGAGTGAGGGGGATGGAGCTTAGCTACCTGGAGCTAAGGCAGAAGAATCTGGTGTGTGCTTTCCCATAGAGGTGTGCTTGGATTTGTGCTTTCTGTACTTACTAAGAAAAAAAATGCAACCTTGCATTTTGGATACGAGTGTCCCCAACCTCTCATGCATTTCTATCCTTCTCAGGACTATGTAGCCTCCCAAATCTCTGCAAAATGAGCTTCAGGGGAAGATCGCTAGATGCATTCCTCAATGCAAAGAAGACAAAAGCTAGGCAGAAGTTACCTGTGGAGGGCGAGACTCCTCCCACCATGGAATTTTTCAGGTCCTCATCCCAATAGCTGGGCTGGAACCAAGTCAGTTCCTAGATCAAGGTAAGAGAATTTCATCTACACCACACCCCACTTCCACCCCTGCCTGTTCCCTTTCTTGTTTATGAAGTAGACTGGTCAAAAAGTTAAGAACATAAGCTTATGGGCTTCAAATATCAAGATCACCTGATATGTGTATCACTTTGGCAATCCATTTACCTAAACTTTCTAAGCTTCAGCTTCCTCCCTTCTCTAATGGGGATAAAGATAGTACCTTCCAGGCATAGTTGTTATAAAAATCGTGATAAGACCTGTAAAATAATCAGCCTAAAGTCTATGCATATTAATGCTCTATTAACATTGTTAGTGGTGTCACTGTTGTTGAAGAAAAGGGGGAATCCCCTTTCTCTTGGACCTCAATCCTTTCTCCTACTGACTCTGTGGGTTTCCTCTAGAATTTCGCTTCTTCTCCTAACCCACATTCTTCAGGTGGAAGTTTCTAGAGACAGAAGTCGCTAGGGAGAGCTTTCCAACTGGCATTCTGTTGAAATGGGTTATGATGGACTTTGAGATATTTATCCCATCAGCACTTGGGGTGATCAGGAAGCTGAGCAGCTGGCCTCAGCTTTGAGTGGCTTCTTGGGAACTTCTCAAAATGCTGCAGAGCAATGGCATCTGTGTGAAAAAGGCTGGGAAGCATCAAATTTAAAGAATGCTGACCACAGAGATGTTCATACCAGGCAAAAATTATGGTCCACGTAGACGGAGCAGAACTATAGGTGGGTGCAAAAGTAACTGCGGTTTTTGCCATTACTTTTAATGCCAAAAACCACAATTGCTTTTGCGCCAATCAACCTAATAAATGTCTCAGGAGAGGAGCCTTTTGTGGTTTCCCAGAGGTGGGGGCTCATGGGTATGTTTGTAATGGTGGGAGGTGAGGGGATGGGCAGGGCAGGGCTGCTGGAAGGAATGCTTCCCACGTGAGCTTGAAAATTGTCATTTTTATTGGCTAGAGTACTTTGATGTCAGGTATTTCTTTGCATAAATTCTTGCCTCGTCTCCGTTGAAGTTTTTTTTGTTTGTTTGTTTCACGCTCTTGTTCCACCAAAGCTACCAAAGATTTCTTACAGATAAATCATTCTTTCTTGGTTGTTGAAAACACGGGGAGTCCTGATCCTAAGCAGCTTATTTCCTCTCAGATTACTTACCAACCCTTGTAGGTGGCCCTGGGTTGCTGAGAAACACCTCTTACTACAAGCCTCTTCAGGATCCTGTGAGAACATTCTCAATGTCCACAACAACCCCTGCTGAGTGTTCTTGACCTCATCTGAATAGAAATGTCAAACAAACTTTCTTCTAGTCACCCATAATTTGATGGGGGTGAAGAAATCCTAAACAGTCATCTCCCTCACTGACCTGGTGGCTGTCTCTCTTTTGGAGCAGCAAAGCTGGCCTGGGTGGGGTGTGGTTAGAGACCCCTGTGCCTTGCATCTTACTCCTACATGGAGTGTCTCCAACAAATGTGTTCAGGGGCAAAGCTTTGCTTGAAGGAAAACAGAACCCCTAAGTTTCCATCTTATAGCCTTTGGGAAAACGGGACTTTATAAGTTAAAAAAAAAAAAGAAAAGAAAAAAAGCCCAAACCTAAAAACAAAGAGAAACCACTCAAAATATAAGAACTAATCACCAAATTGGAGTGAGGGAGGAAGAGGCTGAAGACTTTGAAGGAGTCATTTTATGTTCAAAGAAACAAGCAGTATTTTACACAGTGAGGGAGAATCTTCTGGAATGCCTTATCTCATGGGTTGACTCTAAAAATTTTAAAATGCTGCAGAAGAGAAGTCAGTGAATTTTACAAGGTCATCAAACAGAGTTGTTTTAAAACCAGCATTTATTCAGCATCTAATATGTACCAGGAACTGTACTAGACTATTATGTGATATTTGTGTTAGGTTTCACTTTTGGAGCAACTCTGTAAGTTAGGAGGCACTGCCACTCCCATTTTATAGATGAGGCTCATATAGCTTAAGAAGCCCCATAGCTTAAGAAGCCATCTAACTGAGATGCAAATCTGGGAGTCAAACATATCTGTCCAACTCCAAAACCTGTGATTCTTCAACTATTTCACATTTTATATTTATATGTGTATTTTGCATTTAATATTTTGCTAAGGCACACACAATATACTGAGCAACTGCTTTCCTCTGTAGCTTGATGTCAGCATAAAGGACAAGATTGCCATTCATTTATTCCTTTGCATTCCCATATCCATTCCTTTAGCAAGTATTTAGGGAAGGACTACCCAGGAGTACTATGTACTTTGTCACAACCCATCTCTTGGGTGTATGGTTTAAAATAGGCTACTAGATTAATACCTAGCATAAGGAAATGCTTTGGTTCCACAGCTCATATTAAAGCAGTAGGAAGAGATTAACAGAGAGCCAGAAGGCTTTATATCCCAGACTTATTTCTGTCTCTGGATTTCAAATTGCATCAGTGCTCTATTTTCTTTTTTTTTTTTTTTAATCGTACTTTAGGTTCTGGGGTACATGTGCAGATCATGCAGGATTGTTAAGTACACACATAGCAATGTGGTTTGCTGCCTCCATCCCCCTATCACCTACATCTGGCATTTCTCCCCATATCATCCCTCCCTGACCTCCCCACACCCCAGCTGTCCCTCCCTTGCCCCTCTCCAACAGACCCCAGTGTGTGCCGCTCCCCTCACTGTGTCCCTGTGTTCTCATTATTCAACATGCGCCTATGAGTGAGAACATCCGGTGCTTGATTTTCTGTTCTTGTGTCAGTTTGCTGAGAATGATGGTTTCCAGATTAATCCATGTCCCTACAAAGGACATGAACTCATCATTTTTTATGGCTGCATAGTATTCCATGGTGTATATGTGCCACATTTTCCTTGTCCAGTCTATCATTAATGGGCATTTGGGTTGGTTCCAGGACTTTGCTATTGTAAATAGTGCCACTATGAACATACATGTGCATGTGTCTCTATAATAGAATGATTTATAATCCTTTGGGTATATACCCAGTAATGGGATTGCTGGGTCAAATGGTATTTCTATTTCTAGGTCCTTGAGTAAGCTCCACACTGTCTTGCATAATAGCTGAACTAGTTTAAACTTCCATCAACAGCGTAAAAGTGTTCCTATTTCTCCACATCCTCTCCAGCGTCTATTGTTCTCCAGATTTTTTAACGATCGCCATTCTAACTGGCATGAGGTGGTATCTCAATGTGGTTTTGATTTGCATTTCTCTAATGACCAGTGATGATGAGTGTTTTTTCATGTTTGTTGGCCTCATATATGTCTTCTTTGAAAAGTGTCTGTTCATATCCTTTGCCCATTTTTAAGTGGGTTTATTTGCTTTTTTTTTCTTGTAAATCTGTTGTAGTTCTTTGACAAAGGGCTAATATCCAGAATCTACAGATAGGTAGATTGAAAAAATTTTTTCCCATTCTGTTGGTTGCCGGTTCACTCTAATGATTGTTTCTTTGGCTGTACAGAAGCACTGGAGTTTAATTAGATACCATTTGTCTATTTTGGCTTTTGTTGCCAATGCTTTTGGTGTTTTAGTCATGAAGTCCTTGCCTATGCCTGTGTCCTGTATGGTTTTGCCTAGGTTTTCTTCTAGGGTTTTTGTGGTGTTAGGTCTTATGTTTAAGTCTTTAATCCATCTGGAGTTAATTTTAGTGTAAGGTGTGAGGAAGGGGTCCAGTTTCTGTTTTCTGCACACGGCTAGCCAGTTATCCCAACACCATTTATTAAACAGGGAATCCTTTCCCCATTACTTGTTTTTGTGAGGTTTGTCAAAGATCAGATGGTTGTAGATGTGTGGCATTGCCTCTGAGGCTTCTGCTCTGTTCCATTGGTCTATATCTCTGTTTTAGTACCAGTACCATGCTGTTTTGATTACTGTAGCCTTGTAGTATAGTTTGAAATCAGGTAGTGTGATGCCTCCAGCTTTGTTCTTTTTGCTTAGGATTGTCTTGGCTATGTGGGCTCTCTTTTGGTTCTATATGAAGTTTAAGGTGGTTTTTTCCAGTACTGTGAAGAAGGTCATTGGTAGCTTGATGGGGATAGCATCGAATCTATAAATTACTGTGGGCAATATGGCCATTTTCATGATACTGATTCTTCCTAACCATGAGCATGGAATATTTTTCCATCTGTTTGTGTTGTCTCTTATTTCCTTGAGCAATGGTTTGTAGTTCTCCTTTACATTCTTTGTTAGTTGTATTCCTAGGTATTTTATTCTCTTGTAGCAATTGTGAATGGGAGTTCACTAATGATTTGGCTGTCTGTTAGTCTATTATTGGTGTATGGAAATGCTTGTGATTTGTGCACATTGATTTTGTATCCTGAGACTTTGCTGAAGTTGCTTATCAGTTTAAGGATATTTTGGACTGAGATGATAGGGTCTTCTAAATATACAATCATGTCAACTGCAAATAGACAATTTGAATTCCTCCTTTCCTAATTGAATACCTATTTTTTTCTTGCCTAATTGCTCTGGCTAGAATTTCCAATACTATATTGAATAGGAGTGGTGACAGAGGGCATCTTGTTTAGTGCCGGATTTCAAAGGAAATGCTTCCAGTATTTGCCCATTCAGTATGATATTGGCTGTGGGTTTGTCATAAATAGATTTTATTATTTTGAGATATGTTCCTTCAATACCTAGTTTTTTGAGAGTTTTTAGAATAAAGTGCTGTTGAATTTTGTCAAAAGCCTTCTCTGCATCTATTGAGATAATAATGTGGTTTTTGTCTTTGGTTCTGTTTATGTGATGGATTACGTTTATAGACTTGCATATGTTGAACCAGCCTTGCATCCCTGGGATGAAGCCTACTTGATCGTGATGGATAAGATTTTTGATGTGCTGTTGCAATCGGTTTGCCAGTATTTTATTGAAGATTTTTGCATCGATGTTCATCGTGGATATTGGCCTGAAGTTTTCTTTTTTTATTGAGTCTTTGCTGGATTTTGGTATGAGGATGATGTTGGTCTCATAAAATGATTTGGGAAGGATTCCTATTTTTGTATT